TTAGTAGTACAGCCTCCATAATTTTGCTAAGTGAGGAGAGCAGACTTATCGGCGGTATCGGCGGGTGAGCTTGCAGACTTTTTGGGTTTCAGAATTGGTGTGATTTGAGGCACTTTTCAACTTCCCAGGAAATGCTACCATCTGAGTATAAGGTTGACAACCTTTGTGAAGAACAGTAGGATTTTAACTGGAAATTTCTTCATCATTCTATTGCTTATTGTGTCATAACCAGGGCTCTTGTTGTTCTTCAGCTTTTTAATGTAGGAGCAAACCTCCGACGGCATGACTAGGATCATGTTGTCAGTATGTGGGCTTGGAATTTATTTGCTGTGAAAGTCAGTAATTAACTGCTCTGTAATGGGGTCGTGGTTGTTGTTAGTGCGAAACTGAGATTTCAGATGCTGTGCTAAAAGTTCTGCTTTCTCAGTATCTGTGTAATGGATCCTTTGAGGGCCTTTAAGGGGCGGAATGTTGTTGTGGCATTTTTCATACATTTTGATCGCTTTCCATATGGAGTTATCGTCTCTGAAGAGGGATTCCAAGTAGTTAGCTCAGCGGAGTTGTGAGTAATAATTAGTGCGAGAATTGACTGCATCACACAGCCTGTTGAAAATAGTTTTGTCTTGTATGGATCTGGATTCTCCGAAATTGCCTCCTGGCGAGCACTTGAGTTTTTCGATGAGCTGACTAAGTTCCTTGGATCTGACAAGTTTAGGCCGTTTCATTTCTCTCTCTGAGCACTTTTACAAGCATTTTGTACTTGCACAGGTAAACTCCTCGAGTAAACCATCAATTTTATTGCCTGAATGTGTTGTTCGGATAGTATACTGAATGTTGTCAATACATACTAAATGTTGTACATAGTTGGCAAAAGTCTGTGCCAATCAATTTTAAAGGCTCTTTTGACTGGTGTAGTATAACTACTGATGTCCAGTATCAATACGGACCGGATTGTGGTCGGAAGATAATTCATTCAACACAGAAACATCCAGCGGAACACTGGTGTATCTGAGAAAGTAGAAGTCTAAAATACTAGAGGAACCATTATTTAATAATCAACAAGGTAGAAAAACCTATTAAAGTTGTCTTTAGAGGACTACCCATAGAATGTTCTGAAGATGAGATTCATGAAGAGCTTACAGCTCTTGGTTATAAGGTGCGTAAAGTCTCACAAATGCATAGATTCAAAACTAAGATTCCTATGCCTCTTTTTCAAGTCCAGTTGGAGAATGTACCAGGGGTAGAAGATATTCATAACTTAACTTACTTCATGTGTTTTTATGTTACTGTTACCCCATGTAATACTATCGGAAGAGTTGTGCAGTGTCACAACTGCCAACACTTCAACCAGTCGTCAGAAAATTGCAAACTAAATCCCCGCTGTGTCAAGTGCGCGGTGGCACATATCATCTAAGTACTTAGTAATTAGCCTATGATCACTCTCTGTTTTGGGGAACAATTCAGAAACTCGCCATTTATCTAACTGCAAATTCAAGTTTAGTATCATTCTTTAGTTTTTTAACAAAATCAGAAAATTTTTCAGCAGGTTTTACCATAATAGGTTTAATTCTCGGGGGATCAATTTCAGTAATTTTAGGCTCACCCTGGTCCATATTATCATTTTCATTGTCATTTGCATTTAATACATTAAATTTATTGCTTACGGGAATATCTACATTACACTTAATTAACTTAGAAGGCTTGACGGGGTTTTTCGGCTGAGTAAAGCCATCAGTATCAGTGATTTCGATAGCTGACCTCTTATTCTTTTTTGATGGCCCCTTGGGCTTAACATTAATATTACCAGAATCATCATTAACATTTGAAACAGGATTAATAACATTTACATCAGATCCATTTTCAACATAAACATCAACAATTTTACAAGCATTAGATTTAACAACCATTATTTTTTTGGCAATATCAGTAACACTTAAATTAATAGAATCAGGATTGTGTGCACCAAAAAACTCATACTTGCCTTTATATATCTGTAATAATTCTTCGGCGAAACCGCGTTCCCTGGCAAACACAGTCCGAACTAATTGCAGTTCCTGATCCGATTTAGCATTGGCAGTCAATGTTTCCAAATCCATGTCGATCGACATAATCCTAGATTTTAGCTTTTCAATACTGTGTAATACACACAGGTAGCTTTCTAACATAGTAAGTGATTCCGCATTTATTAAAGCACTCCAATTGCCTCCTAAATATTTATCTGCAAAACAATGCATTTCATCCGTCAACGCTAGCACATGGTTCCAGACCGTAGATGTATCCATTTTAGCAGGCGGAGAGAGTTCGTTCCCCACCATTGCACGTGGTCGCTAATCCTTGGTAGAAAAAAAAAAAAAAAAAAAATTGTTCACAGCACACGAAAAAGATCACACAATTTCAAAGTAATCCACACACGAAAAATTCCGAGACTATGAGAAAACAGCATCGAATAACTCCTCGGGAGGAAAAGGAATGACACCCTCATTCCTTTCTTCGGGATGTTCTTGGTTAAAATTAGGAATAAGTCATAAAATCATTCTGTCGACTCTTGGATGCACAAGGCCCTTCCCTAGCCATCTGCCCCACCCACGAAAATTCATGAAGCTAGTCATATATTATGTATATACGGGCATGGGGATTTACAGCAACAATAGCAGATACAATAATGGCTTTTAAATTATGAAAAACGGTAGAAATATTGCTGAATGAGAAACAGTTGATAAAATTAATCATTATAGAAGAATTTATAAGAACAGTAGAGTGTAAAACTAAGGGATCTGGAAAATCATTGAAGGTTAAAATACAATGTTGCCATGAAATCTGTTTAAAAATATACTACTATATTTCACTAAATTTTTTTTTGGTTAGGTTAGGTTAGGTTTAATTAGCAAAAGCCTCGAGGGCTATCTCCTAATGGAGGGATGCCTTCGTGGAGACTTTCTAAGAGAAACTGGCTCGTATACACGTTACAACATGGGAAAACCACGAAAACCCCAACAGCCAGCCCGTTCGCGGGATTCGAAACCTCGGACCGAACTACCAGTGTTCAGCGACTTTACCGCTCGGCCGCTGGTGGGCCTAAATTTTTTTTGACGCACAATTATTTTAGTTTACCCTTCTATTTTAAGGCAATCATGTTAATATAGCGCAACTTAGTTATCAATTCATAAATCTTTGTACTTGCAAATAAAGATTTAGATTATTATGTAGCTATTTTTATTAAAATTTAGCTTCTATGCACATAGCCTATAATACACATATCATGCAAAATGTATGTTATTCTATCTTTTATATGGTATCGGTAAGTCTGCTTAGTAGTAAGTTCTGCTTAGTATTATTACGTCTTTTGGTGAAGCAAAAATTATACGAGGATTAGCAGTTGCTTGGTATACTATTACTCTTAACATTCCATGATTCAAGGTCATCTGATAAAAATGAAACATTTGCGAGAAAAAAATAATATTAACGCTGTGCTTAATTTGTTTGCTTTGCTTAAAAATAATTAGTTTGCATAAATGAATAGTTTATATTTGATAAGGATGTTTTATATTTGATAAGGATGTTTTATGAATGACGTTATTTCTTTAAATTTTAACAGTAAAGTTCATAATAATTATTATTTCCTAGTTAGAATAAATATACTCTTGTTGTTGCTAATGCTCATTTGTCTGACCTAAAGTCAGCCCAAGCCCACGAAATTTCTCGTGGTAAGGAGCGCAAGTTTACACCTGCTGTTGGCAACAGCCTTGAGCACTTTACAGGTGACAGTACGATTTAGCCAAGGAAGTTAGAATAGACCACTATTCTAACCTCCTTTGGATTTAGCTCAGTTCCGCTCCCAGTTTTGATAGGGAGGGGACGGGTCCGAAGGTCTCCCACTTTTTCCCCCACCACCAACCTCTCGAGAGGACTTTCGGCTCGCCGCATATTTAGAATGCCCCCATGCAGCACGACATTGTACATTTAGAAATATCCATGCGTTCTTCGGTATTCGAGTGGAGCCCTTCAGCAAGGCAGTGAGCGATGCTAAACCATTATACTGGTTGGGCGGCAGACTTAATATACTACATTCATTAATAAAGTTGATTATACTAATAATATAGTAATAAGCTATTACTAATATTAAACAAACCATCAATTCTATGTACATTTGAATCACTATTTTATCCACAGAATCAACCGAAAATTATTAATAAATAATTAAGGACTTTGCAATAAATAATTATTTTATTAGCACTAATTAATAATTATAGATTAAATATTACGCCCTGTATTATAAACTAAATAAAAAGTGAGAGGTAATAATTAATTATCCCTCCTCCCTCTCAAAGAAGTTGGAAACTTTCGGTTCCATTCCTCCCTCACCTTGAGTATTACGGGGTCCGAATGTTCCTAATTCGTAGTATTAAATATTTAAAAGGGGGTATCCTTGACAAGCAATAAACGATATTTGTTAAATTTTGTTCCTCACCAACTATTCTTATTATCATTTTCTTCAAAGCAATAATTAACTTTAAAAATCTGTAATAACTTGAACCAACACTGATCTCAAGATATTGTCAAGCACGAAATAAAAGTGGGAATTGTTAAACGAAAATTATATAAAGCGCAAACCCTCTTATTTTCTCACATAATCTTTAGACACTACATATTAACTACACAGATGACAGCTAAAACCGTCAATCCACGTGACTGTTCTTCACCGGAATGTCAATTTTTTTTACATAAGCTGCACATTTTGTTGATAAAAAGTTTTGAGTTGAGCACTTCATTACGCAATTCCTGCGCGGATATCAATCCGCAATGAAGATATAGTTCTCTATTTTGAACTTCTTAATATAAATATAAAACACTTTTAAAAATACGAAACAGATTTATAATCATTAAAAGCTGCTTTCTTATCTACAAATAATTTCTTTAATCTTCAGTAGGAGAAAAATATTTTGATTTTTTCATTCACCGGCATTTTGAATGAAGAACCTTTGAGGAGTAATATGTCTCAGTTTGGAATGACTAGAATTGGCGTGGCTGATTCTTACGTTGTTAGCTGAACAGCGTGAGAGTTTTACCTGTGTTTCCCCATTATTTGGATATTACATTTATTCCCTTGGATTCTTTTTTCAAAAGTAGTTGTGGTCATATGCGTAAGGTGTAGTGAAGTAAGTATATTTAAATTAATGGTGTTTTAAAATAAATTCTTAGAACTTTATTTGCAAATTTTGAATGTCCGGTACCTAAGTACTAGCTTATGTTTTAAGCCTAAGCCGAAGTGACAGACTCGTTTAATGAGTTGTACCTTGAACGTTTTCTTCTGTAATAGTCGATATATCCTAAACTACCTTTATTTGAATTGTATATATTAGTTTTAGTTAATAAAAATAATTTAGGTTGAATATATTTTCTTTATTATATTCAGAATCTGAATTATCTTTCAGTCGTAAGTACGATTTGAATATTTTATAATTTGGTAAACAGGTATTTTTCAGGTCCGTTTTAGATTTTCTTCGAATATTTTAACAGCGGATATTTTAGAGCCAAATGCATATTATCAGTTTTCTAGGAATTTTATTTAACTATAGTTAACATTTTATTCTGTGTGTGTGGGGGGGTTAATAAAAATTTTTATCGTTCATAATTTTATATACAGCCCGAAAAGATGTAACTTTTAAAAGTAACCTTAAAGAATTTTTTTAAGATGTTCAAGTTAACATCTAGCGGTTTTTTTAATAGAAGTGTAGATATGTGTTAATTGATGGGTTTACATTTTAGTATCTGTAAAACAAAAACTTTTAATGTAATCTAGTGTAAAACTGCTTTAAGGCATTAAATAAAAATTAAAAATTTTGACTATTCTGTTATGAATTGAAAAAGAAAGTGGAGTTTTGTAAAATTAACATGCTATATAACATGCTTTTTATGACACAATTATTCAATATTTTTAAATAATACTGTTTTGACGAGTAAAGCTCAAGGAAGCAGTGTATCTGAGTATAAGAGAAATAATTTTATTATAGTTAACTTTTTAATGTAACATGTTTATGAAAATGCTAACAATTTTATTATAGTTAACTTGCTTATGTAGCATATTTATGAAAATGCTAACAGCTCATTTTCAAATTTTGCTTACATATGCTGTCCCAGAAGGAAAAGAAATTTCAAGATAAATTAATATTTAAAGCTTAATTTAAGCAGTGCATTGCATAAAATGATTATAAATATACAATTTAAAATAAAAAAAAATCAATTGAAAATGTTTAGATAAATTTAGCATATCAATAAAAATAATTTGTGTTCTACTTCATGTCAAGCCCATTTACCTTGAGATTTTTTTACAACCAATTTGTAAATCTGCGTAAAGTGGGGAAGTACATAGTCAAAGTAGTCAAACTTAGCCTGACTAGTTTGTCATTGAATATGAACTACCCCTTTTATACAGATTTACAAACTAATTTTGGGTGAAATAATCTCAAGGTAACTGATTTGGCATGAAGTGGAAGACTATTTATTTTTCTATTGTTTTGTTAAAGAAAAAAACTTCTGTAATTAATTTTTATCATATTTAAAATGAACTTCTTTAATTAAAAAATAAATTTGGTTACAAAACAAAGAGGTTGAATAACATGAAACTTGAAAGGAACAGGCATTTGTGCCTATGATCACACGTTTTAAGATTTATATCTAAAACATTTCAGTTGGTTTTTTTATATTTTGAATTGTAGAAATATATTTATAGTCATTTTTATGCAATGCATTGCTCAAATTAAACTTTAAACATAAGTTATCTTGAATTTTCTTTTCTTCTGGAAGCAAAATTTGAAAATTGGCTTAACGTTCAATAACTATATTAATATATATGATGCATATTATTTTTATAACTTAGTTCATTACATTTCATAATTTCCCAAACTACTTATTCCTTAAATGATTGGAACCGTAAATAGCATCCAAGGTTATCTTAAATTTCGGGCATAATTATCTCATACCTTGAATTTCAGGCATAATTACCTCAAAATGTTGAAATTTATGCGTGGGAAGAGCCACCATTTGAGTGCTGAAAGACTGAGATTGAATAAAGAACTCTTTTCTTTTGTGAAGGTAATTTTATCTTTTTATCTTTCTAAAAGTGTATGTAGGTAAATATTAATTTGGACAAATTTATTGTATTTGTGACATTTAAAAAAATTATTTTTATACAAACTTAAGTTTTATCATGTGTATTTTTTACCTATTGTTTAAGTGGCAAAATGTAGATTGTGAAATAGCCCATATGTTATTTTTAATAGTCGTGTATTAGATTTAAGTTTTCTGGCAGTTTGTTGACTGATTTGTCTTTACTATTAGGTCATTAAAAGTTAAACAAACAAACAAACAAACAAACAAAAAAAAAAAAAAGGGCTGATAATTTATTGAAATGCTAAACTTGAATGTGAAAATTGAAATTTCTATTTAAATATGCATTGACATTTAATCACTTTTTAATTGAATTATTATTAGCTATATACTGTCTAGAATTCATAAAATGTAGGTTATGTGAATTACATGAACTGTTAAATTTCTTTTTTGTACTCCGTATGATCTATGATAGAATTATTAATGACATTAAATGTTTCATCTCTTAAAATTATCATGCCTTTCTCTCAAAGAAGCTAGAAACTTTTTATCTCGTAAAATTATCTGTTATCTGCTCTAGTGTAGAATTGGGTGCCCCTTCGATTAGCAATAATTTTTAAAAATTACATGATAGTTTTAAGTTTGTTTTAGCTTCCTGATTTTATTTAAATGAAAATAGATTGATGTGTACATGGACAAATTTAAGGAAGTGTGCAATGCCTAGTTTGTGCAATTCTAGGATGTGTTTGAAGTGAAAACAGATCGATGTGTACATGGACACAGTTTGTGCAATTCTTTGACTTCTTATTTTGGGGCCATCTTGAAATTGTGCCTTACTGGTGCCGATCTTGGCATAAAAAAAGAGTCGCCAAGAAACAAGGAGCACCCAATTGTAAACTTTTACCTTATCTGTTATCAAGTATATTACATTTTAGCTATATAGCTATTTTCTAAGTAATTACGTTCAGGGTAAATTGAAAGAAGTGAAATTTAGAAAATTTTTTCTCAGCTGTTGGATTTAATTTCCGAGCATAACAGTACTGGCTGTAAGAATTAAGAGGCAAGAGTTAATGCATGGGTTCCCTCCTTTTTTTGTCTGAATTTAAAAATGTCGTTTATAAAATAAAAAATTTTGAGCTACATGTTAAAGTGCTTGTATACACTGCTCCATATTGAAAATGCAACACCAAGAAGGAGTGGTCAGAAATTTATGCAAATTTTAGAGTAGACGCACATCACCGAGTTATGCAAATGATGTGAAATGCGCTGCTTTCCGACGCACGTGAAGTACAATATAAGGGAAGGATCGTGCAGAATAGGCAATATTCGTGTCATTTTTGGCAGACTAATTATTGAAGAAAGTTGTTTTTTTCTCCCGGAGGATGCATGGACCAGAACGTGGTTCAGGGTGTCGACCAGAACCATTTCCCGTCGATTGGTTGAACGTGGCCTGCATTCACAGTGTCCGTTAAGAAGACTGCCATTGACCCCACAGCATAGACGCCAATGTTTAGAATGGTGCCGGGCTGGAGTGATGTGGATGACAGAATGGCGAACGTCGTGTTCTCAGATGAGTCATGCTTATGTTTATCAAGTGACAGTCTCCACATATGTGTGTGTCGTCGACGTGGAGACAGATCTAATCTGGCAGTAACTGTGGAATGCCCCAACACGCGACAACGTGGCATAATGGTTTCGGGCACTGTTGCCTACGATTCCAGGTCACCTCTAGTTCGTATTCAGGGCACTATGACAGCCCAACAATACTTAGATAATGTATTTCGGCCGGTGGCAATCCCCTTACCTTGAGGGGCTGCCTAATGCAATTTTTCAGCAGGATAACACCCGACCACACAGTGCTCGCATCTGCTAACATATTCTGCAAGTTATACAGATGCTTCCCTGGCCAACATTCCCTGGCCGTTTGCAGACTCTGCCCCTGCCACGTTCAGAAGAGGAACTGTGGCAAATGGTCGAAAGGGAGTAGAGAGCATTCCTCAGGACACCTTCCGCACTTTTATTGAATCTATGCTTAGACGTGTTTCTTCGTCCATCGCTGTTCGCGGTGGTCTTGCATCCTACTGAGCCGACGCCATCTCGCTCTATATTCTAATCATTTTGAAATAAAGATCACTTATTGCTGCTTACTGTCTTTTCTAAATTTCATCACTTTCTGACCACTTCTTCTTGGTGTTGCATTTTCAATGTCGAGCAGTGTAGAAAGTGGGGTATTTAATGAATAATATTTAATGTAACCGCTTTTCGTTTTACAAGTATCCTTGGCACAAGTTTTATTTGTTTCAAAAAATTAAGTTTAACAAAGTAGGAAGGCAGATTATAAAATTAATGATGAAATTATGTATGAGAATAATTGCACTGAATTAGAGTAAATCTTTATTTACAATGTAAACCACTTTATGTGAACCAACATTTTTTGACTATTTTACTGTTATGATGGTCAGATTAGTTACTGGAAAAACATTCTCTTTCATTTTATAACATATGCAACTTGTTTATAACAAGTTGTTGGTTTTATAACAAGTTGCATAACGGGACATATCTAATGGTTTCCTTGATTTTTGAGAATTGGAGTAAATCCTCCTACAATACCTTTTTCCTATAGTGCTATTTCATTTAACCAGGAAAACTGTTGAGATTAATGGCAGTTCTGTCAGTATATCATTATTGCAGCATAAGACCAGAAAAAGTAGTAATAGTTGATTGCTTTCTCGTTCAGCTGAACAGCTGGAATTTGTTTCAGTAAAGAAAGAGAAACTTAGAATTTAAGAGAACAGTGTAAGTCAAGGATGTCAAACTCGTGGGCCGCACACGGCCCACAACAAATATTTTTGCGGCCAGGCCAATATATCGGCAAATAATAATATATAATAATAAAATAACATATCGACGAAGAAAAAAATGTTTACTGCTAAGTAATTAACGATAATTTATTCAGTGTTGTTAGATTACTCACAGCAAGCTGACACACACACACACACACACACACACTACTTAAATTACAAATGCGTGTGAATAGCTTGCGTTCAGCTACCTTCGGCGTTTGGGGGTCACGTGCACTCAGAACTTGTACGCATCCCCTGATAGCCGAATGTGGGCGAACTCATGGTCTCAGTTTTCCCATCATAGTTTTGTATGATATATTGGTGCATGCACTTTGCTTTATTATTAATTATTACTTAATTCATATTGTTACGGATTTCATAGTTATTTATTTATTTAGTTTTTTTTTTATTTAGAAATGTAATTAGATTTGCTTCATGTTGCCTTAGCAACGCAGACGATTTTTGAAAAGACAGCTGCGTTGGAAGGTTAAAAATAGAACAGCGCATGCATTTAATACCTAATAAATAAATATCTCATAATTGCTGTTGCCATCCACAAAAATCCAGATATTTATAGATGTTTCCAGTATATTCGAGAAATTAATTATAAAGCTTATAAAAGCCGAGAGCAAACAACTCATCTCAGTAGTAGCTGTAGTTCTAGCGAAATGTTTGTTTACTTAATGCTGTGATTGATTTGTAGCGATTTCGCTGTGAGATAGAATTAGTTTCTCTGTTTTGAATTGATTTTTGCTAAACGTTTGACATTTTGTGATATTGTTAGAATATTTTTGAAGAAATATTTCAGCATTTTGATTTATCTCTTGTGGAAAGAATAAATTTTTGTTAACTTTTTAACGTTAACCGTGTTTATTCCAGCCCTTTGTATTCAGTATGTCTATATCAAAACCAAGTGGTAGTAAAATTAAACGAAAAATCGCTGACGAACATAGAATATTCCAAGTAAAATGGGACTTAGAATATTTTTGCTGTGAAATAAAAGATAAAATAATCTGCTTGATATGTAATAATACTATTAATGTACCAAAGTTATATAATATTAAATGTCATTACGAACAACACAAATCAAAATATAATAATTACGAAGGATTAATGAGAGAAAAGTTGAAAGAGCTCAAGTTAGGAGTGAAAAAGCAATAGTCCGTGTTTAGTAAAATATTGCAAGAAAGTGAAGCGGCGGTACATGCAAGCTACGTCTTGTCCGAGTTGATAGCTAAACATTCGAAGCCGTTTACTGACGGTGATTTCATCAAGGAATGCCTAATGAAAGCTGGAGAAATTGTTTGTCCTGGAAATGTGAAGGCTTTTCAATCAATTTCATTGTCTCGAAATACAGTTGCGGAAAGAGTTACTGATTTAGCCGCGAATTTAAGTGATCAGATCAAAGCAAAATCATCTAGTTTCGAAAATTTCTCTATTGCCTGTGACGAGAGCACAGACATTAGTGGCAAAGCTCAATTAGCAGTGTTTCTTCGTTCTTGTGACAAGAATTTTAACATTTTTGAGGAATTACTGGAATTAATACCGATGCCTGGTACTACCACAGGAGAAGATATATTTACTTCTGTTTTTGGACTTCTGCAGAAATACAATCTACCTTTGGCAAAATTAAATTCTGTAGCTACAGATGGTGTTCCATCAATGACCGGGAAAAACAACTGCTTCGTATTCACGGTTCAAACATAACATCATATGCATTGTATTATACATCAAGAAGTTCTATGCACGAAAGTAATAAATATGGAGAATGTTTTGTCATATATAAAAAAAGTTATAAGTTTTATAAGATCTCGAGGTTTAAATTGCCGTCAATTCACTGCTTTCTTAAGCGAGTTAGATAGTGAATATTCGGGTTTGTCCTACTATACCGAGGTACGTTGGTTATCTTGCTCCAAGATTCTCAAACAATTTTGGGATTGAAAAGAAGAAATATGTCAGTTTTTAAAAACGAAAAATCAAGACGTAAGTTTGTTTTACGATCCAATATGGATACAAGATTTATCTTTCTTGGTTGATATAACCAAACACTTAACCGATTTAAATTTATTGTTACAAGGAAAAGATCATATCATTACAAACATGTTTGACATAATTAAAGCATTCAAATGTCAACTAGTTCTT